TTATTGGGAATACTAACTATAACGATAAATAGGTATTACCCAAAAGGAAACGTGCGAACGGGTCAGAAAAAGCCCATGCGAGGCACCTCCCTTATAAACTTTACACAAAAAATTACATTACACTGCACTATAAATTATAATGTTAATGTAATTGTATGTTTATATCGTATTTGTAAAATAGGGCCCACAGTAAGTGGTTTTTATACTGTTGTGGTGACCCTGCTACTCTTTGTGTGGTAAAGTTATAATAATAATAAATTGGCAACATCCATATAGGCAAATGGTCGAAAATTTGAAGAGAAGAACATTTAAATCCTAAATGTGGAAAATGCGATTTCAACCGACCACTTTAAATCAGACCGCATTTGGTCATTTTTTATCGTAATGATTCCATAAAGGTCTCGTTTGACAGCTGATCTATATATAAATATAGCCTGATCCTTATAAATACGAAAACAGAAAACCTATAAACATAATAATTAACGCACGCTAACCTGTCAAAGTTGGATTATCTTTTTTTATACATCCTGTATATAGTAATAAATGAAAGAGATCTTGACTTGTTTCGAATGCTCTTTTGTTAGGCATGGATCGATGAATACAGCTGCCGTTCTTATTTATGCTCTCACCTGTTGTAAGTATACCTGCAACTTATATTCTTATTAGTATAGGTAATCATGCGATGGCGAGTACAGTTAATTAGGGATTAATAGTACGAGTGATGTTTGGAAATTTTGCTAAAATTGGACGAGCCGCCGGGTCCAATTTGGCAAATTTCCAAACACGAATATTATTAATCCCTAATTGTACGAGCAACATCGCATGATTACTTGTTTATTATTAGCATGACAAAATTGGATACGTACTTCTCAATGTCAACACATTCTCTCGCCAAAGCCCAGTTCTGCCACACTTTCAACCAAAATTTGATGCTTTTGTTTGTATTTTCATTTAGTTCTTTTGTTGAAGCAAAATTTGGTGCTTTTGTTCGTATTTTCATCCAGTTCCTTCACGGCAATTTCATTTCACGCCTGTGTTTAAAATACCTTTCCGCCATTTTGTTTGTTTTGGGAAAATCATTAATTGTACTGCAGTACAATTAATGAAATAATTGTACTCCTCTCAACCAATCAGCATCCAGTAATTTTGCCATGCTAATAATAATACACTTAATGTTTGCTCCCGAAGGAAATAGCTTTGATTTCCCGAGGAGCTCAATGTCGAAGGGAAACAAAACTATTATACATAACAATATACATAAATCAACAATATACATACAACAATATTCATACAATATTCTAAAGCCACGTGACCACAAATTAGCCAATCACGTTTGGTATTCACCCTTGCTATATAACAATGATCATTGAAGACCAATATATACTCTAAGACAATGAAATAATAGTATTGAAGCAGGCAAATTGTCATGTGTGTTTGGCAGGTGTATCAGGGTACGTGGCCAGTTCTCTGTATAAGAAGATTGGGGGAGAAAATTGGGTGTGGAACGTTGTCTTGACTTCTACTTTATTTTCAGGTACTGTACTGTTGCAACACACACTTATTATCAGTTTAGTATGAAACCATTATTGCATGCAGGGTGTTAGCTAGCCCATATATACTGTCCGTTTGACGGACTCTTCCCAATTGAAGTAGCTAAGGGGCTTTCCCAACCGGGTCTACTGGAAGATTTTCATTTTTTCTGATGAGAAAGTGCAATGCGTTTGATTATATATTATATTATATCAAAGAACGTTTTATTTACTTTTTCCCATTAACCATTTTCGCAAAATGTATCGCGTTTCACTCATATTGGGTGTGTATTCACTGAAATGAAATGTACAACACAAAGTATAATCGGTGTGCATCCGTGTTCATTCACCGGAAATGAAATACACAAAACGAAGTGCCATGGGGTGTATTTCTCAGTGTTCATTCACCGGAAATGAAATGTACAAAAACAAGCTACCGTTGTTTGCATCTAAGGAGAAATATGTTGGGAAAAAACACTAGTTATTCCTACACAAGGACTTTGATCAGTCAAAAAAACTTTCCCGATTTACGTTTAACGGACAAAACGTTTTTTTCTGGCTAACACCCTGTATTGACTGGCATAACGAGATCTGTATCATATCAGAAATTTGACAATGATTAAGTTTATCAAGATGAGGTTTTTTACTATAAAGATACATTACATTTCTTCTCAGAATGACCCAAATATTAAACATCCCGAAAATTATATTTGGGATTAGTCGCACTTTAAAGCCAAATTGATTATATTTTAGTTCCATTTTTCTTCATCTGGAGTGTAATGAATTCAGTGGCATGGTACAATCAATCAACTCAAGCCTTACCTTTCACAACTATAGTTCTTCTCTCGCTCATCTGGTTAATTGGTACGTTATTTAATTATTCCATTCAAAACTACACACGGAAAAACTCACAAGTTGTAACAAACTTGCATCAGACTTGTAACGATGCCGTTCCAACAACTTGTCAACAGGATGTGTTCGCACTGCTTGTTCGCGTCTTGTTGACAAGTTGTCAACGGCTTGTTCATTAATGGTATTTCAAAGTGAATATAATTATTTTCTCTGAATTATAGTCGGTTTTCCTCTCACTGTCATTGGTGGAATTTTTGGAAGAAATTGGTCGTCGCCTTTCAGTGCTCCATGTCGTACCAAAAATATTCCCAGAGAAATACCACAACCTATTTGGTAAGTCACGTTATTTATTATATTAAAGTCATGTTATTTATTTTTACTACGAATTAGAACTAGCAGAATATACATCGAAAATAGAACCCTTAACCGACCTTACCTATTAACTGAGTCATTCTTTGGAACAACCTGCCACACTAAAATCAAACCTACAACGACATTATATTGGACAAACTTAAAACTGTTTTGGATGTTTGATAGGCCAAGAACATACAAAACTAATAGACAACTTGCATGTCACACTAATTTTTGATCTAGGCAAAAAAAGTAAATTCCCATAAAGAACTTGCAAAATAGAGCCTTGCGAAGTTTGCATATTTTGTATATGTTTGTGTATTACGTGCGGAAATTGTTACCATTTTTGAGCCGAAAATGGAACAATTCGCGCACGTAATACAAACATGTACAAAATTTGCAAACTTTGCAAGGCTACACTTTCCAAACTTTATATCATTTCGCGACCAAATGTTGCAGTTTTACTAATTTCATTATGTTCTTTTTATAGCTGTGGTGTTTGATTCCCTTCTCTTTACTTAGATTAAAATTTAGTCTAATATGCAAGTTGTCCATTAGTACTCTTTATATAAAGAATACTAATGAGACGGCATCTATTGCAGTCGTGTTTGAAGCTATTCGAAACACTTGTAGTCGTGTTTTATCATGTCTAAAATGTTCGTGATGCGCACTCGCATTTTATGGACACTCCTACGCTCGTGTTTTAAATAGTACATAAATTAAAAAGTACTGGAAAATTGTAGGGCTTTATGATATTTCCCTTGTACGTAATTGTACTTATTGCATGCACTTACTATACAGTAAGTGATGTTAATTTTTACATGTTTGATCTTAGGTATCGGTCAGCTTTTGTGCATATGATAGTTGGCGGTTTTCTACCTTTCAGGTATTGCAAATAGTTTTTTTTGTTTATCTACATAATAATATCAGTTCGGTCTGAACTGTTCTCCCTATAGTGCTCCAGTAAGTTCCACCCCTTATTGGTTCGATATAGGTTTCAGACTTCCACTAACTGGCTTAGTTCGCATCTGATTGGTTAATCGAATATATCCAACGCATCTGATTGGTTCATGGTCCCTTAATGGTAGCGGTAGTGGAAGTCAAATCTGAACCTCTATATTGTTACCACACGAGGAAACTTGCTGGCTATGCCTTATTGGGGATTTATTCACGCGTTTTAGTCTACACTAATTTTTCGGAAGATTGAGTTTTAGTAGGAGAACACTTCCCCACTTCCACGAAAACCCCCACCCTGGTAAAAATGCTCTTTTAAAACAGAATGTAGACCTACTTCTTACAATATTCTCATTTTGTAATGTAATATATTTATTGTCTAGTGCGATATCAGTAGAACTGTACTACATATTTTCAACCATCTGGGGACATGATCACTACACATTATATGGCATATTGTTGATAGTATTCCTGATCTTACTCAGTGTCACTGCCTGTATATCTATTGCATTGACGTACTTTCAACTGTCCAGTGAAGACTATAGATGGTGGTGGAGATCTGTTTTTAGTTCTGGGTAAGTAGTCTACTCGGAGGCGACCTATGGAAATTTGTGGAAGCATCTGAAAATCTTTATGCTCATTTAAATGTTTTCCTGGTTCGTTTAACCTCAAAAACATTGTTGCAGATACCAAATTTGTTTCCTAAAAATGTTTTCCATCGAATTTTCCATCTAGTTTTCCCACATTTGGGAAATATGCCTTCGGGAAACATGGCTAGGAAACAATGTTTCCTGGTTTGCCCACTTCGGGAAACATGCCTAGCAAACATGGCTAGGAAACTCTCAGCTAGGAAACAATGTTTCCTGGTTTGTCCACTTTCGGGAAACATGGCTAGGAAACAATGTTTCCTGGTTTGTCCACCTTCGGGAAACATGGCTAGGAAACAATGTTTCCTGGTTTGTCCACCTTCGGGAAACATGGCTAGGAAACAATGTTTCCTGGTTTGTCCACTTTTGGGAAACATGGCTAGGAAACAATGTTTCCGGGTTTTGTCCACCTTCAGAAAACATGGCTAGGAAACAATGTTTCCTGGTTTGTCCACCTTCGGGAAACATGGCTAGGAAACAATGTTTCCTGGTTTGTCCACCTTTGGGAAACATGGCTAGGAAACAATGTTTCCGGGTTTTGTCCACCTTCAGGAAACATGGCTAGGAAACAATGTTTCCTGGTTTGTCCACCTTCGGGAAACATGGCTAGGAAACAATGTTTCCTGGTTTGCCCTCCTTTGGGAAACATGCCTATAGGGAACAATGGTTCCTGGTTTGTCCACCTTCGGGAAACATGGCTAGGAAACAATGTTTCCTGGTTTGCCCACCTTTGGGAAACATGCCTAGGAAACAATGTTTCCTGGTTTGCCCACCTTCAGGAAACATGGCTAGGAAACAATGTTTCCTGGTTAAGTTGTCTACCTTCGGGAAACATGGCTAAGAAACAATGTTTCCTGGTTTGCCCTCCTTTGGGAAACATGGCTAGGAAACAATGTTTCCTGGTTTTTCCATCTTCAGGAAACATGGCTAGGAAACAATGTTTCCTGATTTGTCCACCTTCGGGAAACATGGCTAGGAAACAATGTTTCCTGGTTTGCCCACCTTCGGGAAACATGGCTAGGAAACAATGTTTCCTGGTTTGCCCACCTTCGGGAAACATGGCTAGGAAACAATGTTTCCTGGTTTG